AATAATTACCCTATTTCATAATTACTTTTAGAGTGGCTTACGATTACACATCTAAATAGCTTGATAAACAACAGAGAAGATTGTGTTCCCCAAATGCACACAGTCAAATCATTCTGCTATGCCAGTACACTATAAACTGTGCACTACCAATTGTATGACTCTTTAGTGACATCAACCTCCACATCTGTATGTTATTGCACAAAATTCCACACAACAAAAACGTTATTTTATTTTGGAAGTCACTTTTTATGGGACAATGCACATGATAGCTAAAGAGAGGATTATGTGTTCTTATTCACATTGATTTTATATTTTCATCTGTTTTTTGACGTTTTTATAAATTAAAGGGGAAGTTTTAAAATGTAATTATAGGTGGTAACTTTAGACAGAAAAAATGGTTAGCACAATTAAACTCACATTAATAAATATTAAAAGGGGCCCTCCTAGAAAATTCCACATACAACATCTCTATACAAGAGATCACAGACATCCGGAGCTCGATCCTGGAAGGTGCTGAATACTTAATCCTTGATCCAGCAAAGCATTTAAACACATGCTTAACTTCAGGGAATCAAGTGCTTAAAGTTAAACCTGTGCATAAGTGCTTTGCAGGAGCAGGGCCAGACTGCTCAGCATTTTGTAGGCGCAAGCCATGGAATAGTAAAGAATATTTAAAACCTCAAAAGCCAGCCCCATGAAATTACTGTCCTACCTTTCTACAAACTTGTAGTCAATAAATCAAACTTTCGTCTTTGATCTTGGATTGCACAAAACCTGGCAGGAAATATAGATGTGTGATTTCCCCAAAGGTGACCTTTTAAAAAAAAAGGTCAGCAAAGCCCAATATCTGCCTCTAATGGATATAAAGGTTAAGATAATAAGAGTACATCATTAAAGGTATTTAGAGTATTAAAGTGGCACCTCGGCTCTCTTGCATATTTTAATATAATTTACCAAGCCACTACAAACACCCCTTCCGATGCTCATGCTCACCTCTATCTCATGCTTCCCACACAAACATAACACATCACACTTAACTGCTGCACATATTTCAACGCTGAACATTTGCTAATGTTCCTGAGGTGGTTAATAACATTTTGTGCAACGCTGTGAGGGAGACTTATGTATTCTTGTGTGGTAATAGGTTTGCTTATCTATTACAGGCAAAAGAAAGTGCTTTATGAAGATGAAGAGTCTGTTGCTTTTAATGAACATGAGTTCGACTACAGCGACAGAGTGTCCAATAACCTGGCATAAATTTGAGTTGGCGAGATGTCACAGTCAACAAACCTTAATTCCTTTTATGAAAAGCTTTTGTTTAAGAAATATATATCAAAGCCTAAATGTACTAGCCTATCCAGTTATACAAGGAGGAGGCAAGGAGGCAGTTCTTGTGGGAATCATCATTTTTGACTTTCCAAACTTTTGATTTAAAATTGGTTGGAAGGAATCTTTTTATTGTTTCTTAATATTCCTTACCCCCATAAAAGGTTATATCATTTTGATTAAATAAAAAAAATCTCATTAAATTTAATGGGAGCAAGATCAAGTCCACATTAGGGCTGGTTGAACAGTTAAACTAATTCATTAATATTTTCATGAATAACAGGAATAAGTCCAGTTTGCTATGAAGTCATTTTCCTTTAATCACACATATTCAGCAGCTGCCACGTAGTGGTGAAAATGTTTACAAACCCAAAAACGTTCATACAATTTATCATAAGTAATTATTCGTCCAAAATCTGTAGTAGAAAGTGCAGTATGTTATCCTCTATTCACTATTTTCCTGCCTAAAAAGTTTCAATAATTCAATCAAGAAGCAGCATTAAAACCATAAGACACAGACAATCAAGCCCATGAATACCGAACAGCAAACACTCAACGTGAACAGGCTGTAAATAGGCTTCATGCTGACAATTATTTATCCTGTCTACAAATGAATACTTCTGAACGACAAATTCTGTACATTCAAAAAAAATCAGGCTTGGTTTGTGAATAATTCACAAACTGAAAAAATAGCTAAATTCATAACAATTATTCATAACAAAACAGTTCAACAAGCTCTTATGTGCATGCTAGACAACAAACTTCTGATCTGTCAAGTAATCTCTATTTCTGAACTTTCCCATGACAATTCAACATTTGACCCTACTGGCTTTATTTTTCTCTCCTTTACTAAGATTGTCAACATTTACAAAGCCTTGTCATATGACAGTCAGGGTCTAAACTCTGTTGTCTTCTGTGGTGCCTTATGCTTTTCCATTCCATTTCCACATTTCTATTTCTTTGTAACATTTACTTAGGAAGACACTACCTGCCCAGCCAATGAGTCAAGCCAACTGCTGATTTGGCCAAACCTCTTGTTTCTGGTTTCTTAGAGGGAAAAACAAACAACCAAATAACAGAGCTTTGATATTTGAAATGAATATCCCAAATCAATAACAGAATGAATGATATATTTAAAAGCCAGAAATATATTTTCAAGTTAAGTTTATTTAAAATTTTGCATCATTTGAGTGGATACTACTAAAAGACCAATAATGAGCATGTTGCAGTAGTCCAACTGTTAGATAGTACTATCATGGTATGATCCGAGATTTATTAGAAAAAGTTGTAAGAAACTCCACGTCAGAGATACTGAACCAACAAATCTGTAAGATCAAATGGATTTAATATGAAGTTCTAGACATTATGCCAAAAAACTCTGAAGCTTCAATTTTCAAACAGTTTTTAACACGCACAGATAAAAAATATACAGAAAAGTAGGAACAACGGTATTTGACAAAAGTCTTTAAGAACTCATGTTATTTTAAAAGAAATCTTAAGAAAATAGAAACAATATAGAACAGCAAGTGCCTATGCACAAGCAGCAGAAAGTATAAATTATTTTGAATTAATTAAGAACAACTTGCACATATATCAGAAGAGAGCAAGCTCCCCTTAGTAAAGTGAAGAAAGGGTTGGAGCCTTTGATTTGTTAACACTTCACAAGGCTTGGCTTTTCATCCTCTAGATCTCAAAGTTCATTGACCGTTTGGGACCTAGTGAGCAAAAATATGGCTCTGTAAGCAGCATCTATACAGCATAATTCAGGAAATAAATCTCTCTGATCATTGATTCATGTTGCAGGTCCGGACATCTGCACTGTCCCAACCTGAAAACATGGTTGATTTGGACTATCTCCTCTTCAAAGGCCACATGAGGTATATGGGGAAGTCAGGAAGAAGCCACCAAGAATGTTCAAGGAAACCTCTTGTTTCATTATGGCTTACTTTCCAAAATAAGTCTCAAAAGCCTTAAAAAAAATGAAGTCATAAGAAAAACATGGGCTCCAGCAAACAAAGGCAAGAGGTATCAGCCTTGTCATAAAAAAAATTCACTTGGGGTCAAATGTTGGACACAAAACTTGAATAAATAAGCTTTGAATGGGGAATATCCTCAGAAGTTGGAGGATGGGAAAAAATCATCCCTTTCCAGCCCAGAGTACCAGCACAGCTCCTACAGTCTAGGAAATTCCCCTATATAATGTGTCTGTGTCTGCATTTTGTCCAGAGCCCCACATGGTAGCAGATTCCCTGACCACGCTTGCACTTCTCCTGTGCTTCCTTCCTTTGAGCCATGGAGAAAGAGGTCCCATAAAGGAGAGCTCCCATGACGACTAGGGTTCAGTGTTGATAAATGCAAAGTAATGCATATTGGAAAACATAATCCCAACTCTACATATAAAATGATGGCATCTAAATTAGCTGTTACCACTCAAGAAAGACATCTTGGAGCCATTGTGAATAGTTCTCTGAAAACATCCACTCAATGTGCAGCGGCAATCAAAAAAGCTAACAGAATGTTGTGAATCATTAAGAAAGGGATAGATAATAAGTCAGAAAATATCATATTACCTCTATATAAATCCATGGTATGCCCACATCTTGAATACTGCTGTAGATGTGGTCGCCCCCTCTCAAAAAAAGATATATTGGAAATGGAAAAGGTACACAAAAGGGCAACAAAAATTATTAGGGGTATGGAACAGCTTCCATATGAGGAAAGATTAATAAGACTGGGACTTTTCAGCTTGGAAAAGAGACAACTAAGGGGGGATATGATAGAGGTCTACAAAATCATGACAGGTGTGGAGAAAGTAAATAAGGAAATGTTATTTACTCCTCCTCATAACACAAGAACTAGGGGTCACCAAATTAAATTAATAGGCAGCAGGTTTAAAACAAACAAAAGGAAGTATTTCTTCACACAGCATACAGTCAACCTGTGTAACACCTTGCCAGAGAATGTTGTGAAAACCAAGACACTAACAGGGTTCAAAAAAGAATTAGATAAGTTCATGTCGGATAGGTCCATCAATGGCTATTAGTCAGGAAGGGCAGAGATGGTGTCCCTAGCCTCTGTTTGCCAGAAGCTGGGAATGGGTGACAGGGGATGGATCACTTGATGATTACTTGTTTTGTTCATTCCCTCAGAAGCACCTGGCATTGGCCCCTGTCGGAAGACAGGACACTGGGCTAGATGGACCTTTGGTCTGATCCAGTATGGCCGCTCTTAAGTTCTTATGGAGTGCTCCAAGAAGCACCCTTTGCAGCCCACTTCCTTCCCCATGTATCAGAACCATGGTAGTTTGACTGCAGTTAGGGCCTTCTCTACTTGTGAACAAGAACAGGGAGTCCAGGGTTGCTCCTTGACATTTATTTGGTAGCTACAGGAACCACTATCCTGTACCAGAGTAACCCCCTTTGCATTCCTATCGTTGAGAGTCACTAGCCCAAGAGTGTAGATCTATTTGGTGTTATTTAATTTTAACAAATAAACATTAAAAGACTAAAAGCTTTACTTCAGCCCTATACAGTAAGTGGTATGTATTACAGTGGCATTGCAGAACAACCCTTACAAAAGGAAATTGCAAAATTTTAAACTAACAATATATCTAAGCATAATTCATTCAGATGCCAACACAAATTTAACAACAGAATAAGCTTATCCAAGGTCAACAACCCATCATGGTAAACACTGAAAATGAACATTTTTTAAAAATGGTGTTTAATTACTGAGATGAATATTGTTACAACAGAGATCAGGTTTAGATGACAATGACAAACTAGAAAATCGAACTTTAAAATTAAAGTAAATGCAATGAAGGGTACCAATAAATAACTATTTTTAAGAGTCTATTCGTGGTTCTTAAGAACTATGTTTAAAAGCTTTATATCATCCTCTAGCAACTTCTTCAACACCTTTTTGTTTTGCTCTGCCTGACTTCCACAGAAAACATGTTTCATAGCATCAAGAACAGCAATAGCTTTTACACTAATATCCTCTGGGACATATTTCTTGTCAGAACTATTCATATATGTAGTTAGCTGAGGACTAAAATCATACAGCAGGTTAATAAATGCTCTTAACTTTCTGATTTCTGCTGTGTCCTGTTCTACTTCTTCTGTGTTCTGTTCTACCTTTTCTTTCGGAGGTGAAGGCTTAGGTTGGTGATACAGCAGACCTAGTGAAGCCTCTGCTTCTTTTTCCAGCATAAGAGATTTCGTTATATAGTTTTCAGATGATTCAACATACTCTTTGAGATGTGGATTTTGTTTAACATAATCTGGTGGCTTCTGTAACAATTTTTTTAGCTTTTCAATCTTTTCCAAGATTGCTTCACCTGCAGGTCGATGTTTCACCTTGTCATATACATGTAGCTTTTTCACCTTTGTAACATATTTCAGTTTTTCTGCTTTTTTGGTGATGTTTTCTGTTTCTTTGAGGTTTTTTACATTCTTTAAAGACTGAACTAGATTTTCCAGGGATCCATTTGTTAACTGATCAAAAGTCTTACTTTTTCTTTTTGAAACAGCATTTTCAAATGTAATAAATATTTTTTTCAGTGGTGTTGTTGAGCTAGACGACTCATTAGCGTGTAAAACGACAGAAACTTCCGTGCCAGTTCGCAGGCTCCAAAATGGGGTTGTTGTAGATGTAGTAAATTTTCTTGTAACAGCAGCCTTTTTCTTTGACTTCTGTGGCTTTCTATCATGTTTTTGGCCCACATTTAACCAAAAAGAGTCAATATTTCCATTAACATACGATTTCACTATTTTGGGTGTAATGATTGTTTGTTCAGTTGGTGTGCGCTGTGTAGGAACATCTTGTATCACATCCTGCAGAATCTCCACGAGGCTCCTCAGGGTTTTCTCTTCTTTCTTTTCTTCTGACCCAAAAGGTGTTGTATGAGATTCTATAAAAGATTATCAAATAATTATAAAGTGCACTCATAGAAATTGCAGGTCCACATTTGCCTAATATACTTTCACCTATATCATGCGTAAAACAAATTCCAGCTATATCTGGACTTTTGCCATAACTTTAATGATTTTTATATTTATAGAAAATCTATGCTTTTTGACATTTTTAATGTAACCCTGCCTTCTTAAATGAATGATGTAGGACATTTGCATTGAGTTTCTCTTTTGCAAGCCTGCAAGTTGGGTTTTTTTCTACTCTTAGTAGAATGTTGAAATATGGGCACAGGCACAGCTCCCCAAGAGCTAGCTGCTTTGAAACAGATCTTGTCACCGCAAGTCTAAATGATGCAATTTTACAGTTAGGATCTGCAAAGACATTGATGTAAAGGAGAGCGAGAAGTTCTTACCATAGATTGTTAAGTTGTCTGTTCCTGAGCTTGAAACCTGGATAGATGAGGTTGGATGCACACTGATCTGTTGAGCACAAAAACAACTGTAATTGCAACATGACTTTCATGTCATTATGACAATATTTTTCTTCATATTATTAGTCCACATTATTTTGGGGCAATAATTAAGGCAGATTTCCAGACAAAATTATTTGACCTAATCAGAACATTATAGCTAAAACAAAACAAACAAAGCCAACAAATTCAAAGTTAAGATTACCACAAAACAAAGCGAGAGCGAGAGAGATTCCAAACAGCAGAGAACATAGATCTCAGATATTTGTTGTATCACTTACAATCATAACTTTGCCTCCCTTTTACTCCCGCTATATGAGGTAAACGTATGTCTTTGGCAAGTTCACAGTTAGCTAAAACGTTAAAACTGCAAATACCCTGGTGGTTCTGCCTGGGACCCTGACATCTGAGAACATCCTCAAAACTGTGTAGTTAGCATTTTGCCATCTTAAACCACATTTTCATAGTAGCGTGTGTATACTTTATATACAAAAAAAGAATGCCAAGGTTGGAAATTAAGCATGCAAAAGTTAGGAAATGCCAGAATTAAGATTGCCTCTGCAACTTTAGTTTGCCCCCGTGTGTAGTCTTTAATTATATGACCACATACTATTTGTTTCATAGGATGTCTGCCATATTGAGTGCACAGGATGGATGGTGCTCACTCATAGCTTGATCCTGCTACTACTGAAATGAGAGTTCAGATTCCTATTGACTTTTGTGTTGCAGGAACAAGTCCTGAATAGGCAGCTATTTATCCTCGTCATTCAATGTATGACCCCATTCTTTGTTTACTGCACACCATTCAAGCCCTGTACTAAATACAGAACTATTTATTTTCTTACATGGGCTTTTCTATGGCATTCATCACTGAAACGTCTTAGTGCTTCAAAAACATTAATGAATTTATCTTTACAATGCCCTTTGAAGTGAAGTGATATTATTATTCCCATTTCACAGATGGGAAACTGAGGCTCAGAGCTATCGTCAAAAGTGTCCACTAATTTTGGGTGTCCCCCTCAATGTACCTACAGCCTAATTTTTCAGAGCATTTAGCATTTTTATAGCACATTATATGTTCAAAGCACAGCACACATTGACTTCAGTTGCAGGTATGAGTGCTCAGCACTTCTGCAAATCCAACCCCTGCGTCTCAAGTTGGACACCCAGAAAATGGGGAATACCTAAGGGCCATCTGCAAAAATTTTGGTTTAAGTGACTTGTCCGGTCTCACATAGAAATTATGTGATGGAGGCAGAGATAGACTCCAGAATGGTATTCACCCACCTTAACCATGAGACAACCCTTTATCTTCATGTAGTCCCCTGTCTGATTCACTGCATACCTTCCAATTTATACAACTAATGACTTCAAATACATGAGGCAGATATCCTCCAAAAAGCCCCCATATGGTTGCAGAGAAAAGCTTGGAATGTGAACCCCAATGGTACAAAAGCCAAATAAAAAGAAATCCAAATTTTTTATTTTTAAAAAAACTCATAATTTTTAAGCCAGACTCGTGATTTTTGCTGCTTTTTGAATGCTTGAGGTTGGTAATATTTCTTATAATTCAACCAAAATTGAGTGAATTTTCACTGGGGCAGCAAAAGGCACCTCTCTGACCCCAGGAGGATTCCCTTGCAAATTTCAAGTCTGTGATCCAAAACACAGTGACGCTAAAACTTTTCAACAAAATAGTTGTAAGAATTTGTTAACATTGGCAAACAACATACATTTCCCCTGACCACTTTCTTGAAAACAGGTGAACTGTTTTTGCTGAAACTTTCAAAGACACTGAGCCTGGGGCAAACACCTAGCATGGAAAATTTCAGCCTAAACTGTTCAAATTTGTCAAAATTATGAATACCTGATAACAGGAGCTTATAATAGATAGTGTGAGGCAATCTTAACCACAGGCATCTTTCAGCTCTGCCTATAATAATCTAAACACAAGGGTAAATGTGTTGAAATTGCCCACGGGTGCAGGCAGTCCAACTACTGTGAACAGAAAGGGGTTAAAATGATTATAAATTTTCCAGTATGTGCAGCATGAGAGAAATATATTAGGAAGGAAGAGTGGGAGTTGGATAGGTCTTTGAAAAGTACATGAAATTTTGGAAGAAAGATGTTGTGTTCCTGTCTTGTCAAGGAAGGATGAACTAGAAGTGTGCTTTGTAATTCTGTAACTGTCTTCTTTATTATCTATTTCACTCTATAGTTATATTAATTCTACAATGCCTTTTCAGACACATTTATGTGAAAACCCCATACCAAATCAAGTTTATTATTATTCCATTCTTTTTGTTTTTAGGATGTTTTAGCATCTATAATCCCTATTGGATGACTTTCCCTCTCCTGTATTTCAACATTGTCTTTATGTACCAGAGTAAATTTGGTACAAGTGTTCAAAGATTCAATCAATGACACTACATATATTTCATCCATAATAACTCTATAAGCTTCTTCCAGAGCTTTCTTTGCCTGAGGAACTGAAGAACCATATCAGTTCTCCCTACTAAACGATTTCACTGCCCCTAACACTTCAGACACACAGGGACAAAGTTATGTACTTATTTCTTCTGCATAATCTAAATGATTAATTTCTACTCGCTTTTCCTTTTGAACCCCAACCATATTTGGAATAGTCTGCTGATGTCCAAACATGACAAGTGCATTTTGCTGAGTAACTCATAGCAGTTTTCTTTGCTTTCAGTAAAAATGGTATGTGCATAACTCAGTCTCTGTGACGGTGCTCCAAAACATTCACAACTGTATTTTCAATGTCCGATTAAATCTTTCCACCTTGCTGTCTGACTGATGTCAGAGGCCTGATATGGGTTTAACTGAAGACCAAACTTTTGTGAACTCAAATATTCAAAACTCAAAATCCATTTCTTGGTGCTAGTTCACTCCCAGGGAAACACCAAATCTAGCGATAAAAGAATTTACTGCAGAGATATGTAGGGCCTTGTTTTTATATGTGGCCTCTATTTTTAATTTATTATATTATTAATTATTTGTATTACTATAGCACCTAGGAACTCTATTCAAGGGCCCAGACCCTTTTATGCTAGACACTGTACAAACATCAAACAAAAAGATGGCCCCTGCTCCAAAGAGCTTACAGACAGACAGATTACAAGGAAAAATGAGATAATATGATAGGCAGTGGTCACAATACACCAGCAGGCTAACATCTATCTAAACTTGCTTGTGCATTTGTTCATATTCAGGTTTTTTCGTGTGAAGAAATTCAAATGTATGCAACTGCATTTCCACATGCAAGCTAGGTAGCTTTGCACTAACAATATTATTTTAGTGACAAATGCAATTTGCACACATAAATTTGAATTTTTTCCATGCAAAAATTTAGGTATTAATAAATGTATGCAGAAGTTCAATTGAAGACATACATTTAGCGATTGGGGTAAGACCTCTTTGAAAATTTGTTCTCTGTACTCTAAAACTGTTCAATATTTATTTCAGCAGCAAACTTCTCTGCCTCAAACTTAGTCTAATATGCTGAAATAGTCAACGTTGTTTACAACTTATGTCTACAGCAAAAAGGCATGAAGTTAAGGCATATCAGAAATTTATTTGAAGAGCTGTGGGGCCACATGAAAAAGTTTGAAAATATTCTATTTGGAAGCAATTCTGCATCTATATTATCTGTGACTTGCAGATGAACCACTCTAATCTGCAATATCCGTAGACTTCACAATCTAAACAAAGTCAAGTGTGCTAAGGATTGGGAGGAGAGAGAGAGAAAGAAAATACTGGTGCTGTTTTCTTAATAAAGAATTAAGTGAAAATCAGAAAATTATATATGAACAGAACTGTTCCTAAATACCAGTATTTTTCAGTTTTTCCCACAAGGCACCAATGTTTCCTTTAAAATAGAAATGAAAGCACTAACAACAAACAAACAAAAATCAGCATACATTCTAGAATAACCTAAAAAAAGTGTCACTCAGTAGTGAAAACACTTACTCTGCTTAGTAGAAAGAATAAGCATCTTTACTAAGGCCCTGATCCTGCAAAGATTAAAGTTAAACACATGTGTAAATCTTTGCAGGACCGGGACATGTTTAATTAATTGGCTAATTCTGTCATAGAACATGTTGAATTTTCCTTTCTTCTCCATCTCTCCCAATGTAGGACTTTATCCTGCTCCCACAGAAGTCAATGGAAAAATCTCTTAGCAGCAGAATTAGACATATCATATACACTGTAATAGTGAAAATTACTAATTAACAAGTATTTTCCTTTGTTTTGATATTAGAGAAATAAGAAATGAGAAGACTGATAAACCCAAATTATACTGAAATGTTGATAGGCATATTTCTTTGGGGCAGGGACAATTACTTCTTTTCTGTTTGGAAGGACCCTAGCACATTGTGGGCAAAAACAGAAATAAATAAATACATTTATTTTCAAAATCCCAAAATTAGAGTTACCTTTATGTGTTTAACATTCTCGAAAGTATGTTGCAATGCTAAAAGAAAAAAACACTTTTAAAATTAAAATTAGTTATTGAGCTTAACATTTAAATTATACAATGTCAATGCTGAGGCCCAGACTGGGATTTGGAGTTTTTTTATTTTATAAATGTGCTGTGTGCATTGTATTTAAAAGTGTTCACCTCACATTACACCAAACAGGGAAAGAAAGCCCACTGCAAAGTTAAAATATGAAATTATAACAAAAAATAAGATAACTTCTCTTTATTTCAAATAATTTTGTGTTGGAAATTTAGGGCCAGTTTTTCAAAAAACTCAGTACCAGCTGCTCTGATTTAGGTACCCAAATGAAATGTCCAGATTTTCAAAACTTCTCAGCTTTCATGTCACCTAATTAACATGAACAATGGGAGCTGCTGGTGCTCATCTCTTCTGAAAATCTGGCCATTTCAATGTAAGTGCCTAAATTGGAGACTGAGCTGAGCACTTTTGAAAAGCTAGTCCCTTAACTTCTGCATGAAAAATAGAGAAGAAATTTACAACTGTTTTTCAGAACCCTAATGATGGAGCAAAGAAATATGATGTTTAGACTTACATGCCATGCCAGGTAATCAGGAATTTTTCCTACTTGCAAATATTATTTCTTTAAATTAGACTGCACTCTTCTGGGGATGTTGGATTGAGTGTTTCTGCCAGCAGGTGAAGAAAGAAAACCAAAAAGATTGCTCAAGATCACAGTAAGTGTCATCTCTCTCGGTTTAAGAAATTCCACTACAGTAATCATTCACTTGTGAAACCACATAACTGTAAAATTAAACACAAGGAAAAAGGAAAAAAAGACAACAGAATCAAGAGAAAAGGTAGTATTCTGGACTGATTAAATTCAATTTACAAATGCCATCCAAACATTTTAAGTAACAAAAAATTGTTCATTCTAAAAAGTTGGCTGTTATCAACCTAGGACTGCCTTGACTAAGAAGCAATGCAACAAAGGTAAAGCGAAAATTTGAAGGTGAAGCAGTGCCTGGAGAACTCATCTGCGGGAAGTTACTTCTGCAGAAGACCAGACTTCTAGACACAAAGAGTCAGTGGAGGAATGAACAGAACTCTATGCAGCGTTTTAATAAATTTATTGCATTGAAGCATCCTATCAAAGACTCAAGACATTCCAAATGCCTTTATAGAACAATTCTAATAAAACCTGGTAAAGCCTTGTTGTTGACTTTATAGATATTGTAATACACTTTTCTTTCCTGTTCTATGCTGCTTAAATAGTCCTCCAGGTACATTTTGAAAGCCCCTTAGACATCTACAAAATATAAAATAATGTTGTGGGACATAAAGACCCACAAAATAATCTTGTGACCCTTGACAAATTGAAAATTGATTTAAAAAAAATTAAGGATACGTCGGGAATGGTGGCACTGAGGGTGGCAGATCGCTCAGGGGTTCTGGGCTGCGGTGCACAAGGCCAATCGGGTGTCTGGTGCCACTGACAGCTTGGCCAGTGGGTGGCTGAAGGACTGGCTAGAACAACACAAATGATGTAAGGGCTGATGGATCGATCAAAGTGAAAATTAAGGATAATTCTACATTATTTTGTCTATGTGAAACTAGAAAAATGGCTTCACCAAAGAAATTCTCACTTGTCCTTTCTGCCTAACACATAGCCACTAAAAGGAAGCTTTGGGGGAAAAAGAGGAAAAAAGACAATGTAAGAATTTTAAACTGATCTTCCATTGATGCACAAAGGATCTATGAAAGTTTCCAGCTCAACCAGCAGAAAACCCGAGCACTTAGAACTTTGACTGCCACGTATCAGCATGAGTTTCCAAAATTCTTCCTCTGATGTATCAACTATAGCTTCTAGGTTCTTGTCTAGGCCATTGGGGAAAAAATTGTGCAAGTCTCTGTATTCGCTAAAGGTAGCTTGTGATTCTTGCTAAAAGAGAACAAATTTACTTCTGGACTTCTCCTGCCTTTCATAATGTTTCATGAACATCTCAATGTGAAAGTCATATTTTCCAAGTGTTGGCTACATCAAATCAGCCTTAATATTGGGGTGAGCTGCTACGTGGTCTATTAGGAAGCCATTGAAATGATTTTCTGCCCAGTGAAATAAAACTGAAGAACTACGAGCATCTGCTGGCTCATAATTTTGATGGGTGAAACTTGGTGCTTCCAAGTCTTATGTTTTTGATACTTCACATCACCACTACAATGTCAAATATGATGTGTACCTGCTTTCTATTTCCTGCTTCTTACTAAAATGAGAGCCTCCATCCTGATCCCCTAGGCTCCGAAGAGAGATTATAGCCTTCCATGACTCAAGACTCCTTGTATTGTTAGGATACTGAGCAAGGCACTTTATCACACAAAACTGTTCAGTTTGACCCTTTCTTTGTTTCTGCAGCTCATAGGAATACACAATCTTGTGACTCAACCATCACTGACTGAAGCTATCTTGACAATGAAGATACTGGTCCTGTGTACTTTGAGTCCACTGGCTCAAACTGAGGCTCTATAAGTCTCCCAGATAAAAACCTGAGCTAGGGGACAGTATCCATACAAGAAACCATCAGGCTCCAAGCTCTGGTCTAGTCCACAACATAATACAGATCTGGCCCTTGAAGCTGAAGAACTTTTCTTGCATGATCAATTCTCCAACAAAGTTATTTTACGGAGAGCTTTAAGCATCTCAAAGGATTGACCTAGAGAGAAAAATAAATGTCATTGTTCATCTGAACAATGATAAGGAACCCAAAACAGGGCCAAGGCTGATAAGAAGAAAAAAAAAAGTTAATATAACCCCCACTCAAGTATAGACAGGATTTGCAAGTCCAAAGTCAAACAAAGAGTATTTAGTATTTATATTGATTATTTAAGAATTCCCAGTTAACGCTCTGAGGTTTGATAGGGTTCAGTTGGGAACCCCGATGTGCAAGGTTACAACACTCACAACCCATAGATCAAGCAACAGGTTTGGCGACCAAACAGGGAAGGGTCCACAGTGGCAACCCCCCTACCAGTAGCTTAAACTCAGGAAACAGGTAACTCACCTGCAATAAAAATGTAAGTTGAAATCCAAATTAATCTCTCAATTAGAATGTAGTGCCTGTCACAAACACTGTACGTTTCCAGAGTACGGGACTTCCTCCTTTCCTCTGCTATTCTTCTTCTTTTCTGTTTCTCTGCGTCTAGTATACTACTTCTACTTGTACTTAGCTCACCAACTCTGCAATAGAGGGAGTATTGTCCTCCTGGGAGGACTAGTAACTAGCACACACACACACACATGCACATGCATGCACCCACCCCTCGAGCAGAGGTATTTAAGACACAGTGGATACAAATCAATGATTTTTTTTAATCAAAAAAATTGGATTTTTTAAATTTAAATCGGATTTTTTTGATAAAAAATTTTTTGAGGAAAAAACCTATCTAAAGATAGTTATAATTAAGATACATTATAGCTCAAAGATATCTCATCATGGAATAGGGATTATAAATTCTAATTCTATAGTATGAGACAATATATTCATGTAATGTTTAAGAAAAGTTTTGTAAATGAGTTCCAATCGTTCGTGGATTAGGGACCCAATTTTATGGGGTTCCACAGGCTTCTGTATAGAATATTTAGGTTAATCTTTCTATCTACCCAATGGGACTCAGTGCTCAGTCTAGAAGATACCATCAGAGATGCTTAGTTTTGCAGTTCTCAAACTGTGGATTTGTGTCTCCAGAGGTAACATGCTTGTTAACAGCAAAAATGTTTTAAATAAATAAATAAATAATATAGAGAGGTGAGAAATAACAGACCTCAACTCTACTGTCCCTCTGCAAATTTGTGTCCACAGAGTCAATCTGTTACCTCTCTCTAAAAGTGCAAAGTTTCAAAAAGTTCAATGAATAGAAGATTGTTGGGGGCGGAATAGATCTGGGCAAGGAGAAGAAGTCTGGAGATAAATGTGAGAAGCGAGGGACATATGCTTGTTTTGTTAAAATATTATATGTTTGCTGTTGAAGAAAAAAATCCAAAATACTTAGCATTGTTGTTTTAGTTAAATAAAACAATTTAAATGTCTGTCTGGTGATGTTCTCCTCCTAATACAGCATGGCAGGAAAATCCTCCAAATATTGATGATTAACCTGTTGAATTGGAGATAGTTCACCTCCCAATGACTTCATAAATAACCAAACAATCATTCATTTTCTGATATAGCTGTAAACCTAATCTGAAAAGTTTTCAAAATAAATCACTGTTTAAAAATGTATAGTGTGTACCTTCTAAAAATGAAACCTACCTTTATCTCTGAGTTGTGAAGAATATGTAGTAAGGTTATAACAACCAACAAGAATGCACTTTTATGTAGAAAACCATGATTAAATTGAGTCTTCCTGACTAGTGATTTAAATCAAATCCACCCTGATTAAGACCTTGACCATCAGACTCACATGGCATGACAGAGGTAGGGTAGGACCCTCATAGATAGCAACCTGTCTCCCACCACTGGGTCTCTATAATTGTAACTGTGTGAGGATGCACGTGGGGTGATGTGGGACATCAGCCTCATTGAACTCTGATTGCATCCTCATTTTGTGTTATTGACTAGTCATTTGTGTTCAGAATCTCACAAGAAGGGGATTCTGTGCTGTTTAAAATGTAACAAGTGTTAAGGGGGCTTTGTAAATTGAACTGTTTGTAATATTAAAGGTACCTAAAGTTTAATAAGGAGTAGCATCGGGCCCAGTGACCCACACCTTGAGGTGGCAGGGGAGCTGATTTCATAGAATCATAGAATATCAGGGTTGGAAGGGACCTCAGGAGGTCATCTAGTCCAACCCCCTGCTCAAAGCAGGACCAATTCCCAACTAAATCATCCCAGCCAGGGCTTTGTCAAGCCGGGCCTTAAAAACCTCCAAGGAAGGAGACTCCACCACCAATAGGCCACAGTAGTTCAGACTGTCCAAATCTGTCTATTCACTTATTTCGGTCCCATTCCAAAGTTCACAGGCCTCAAAGCCTTATGTTAACTGCTTAAGCCAATGTCTTACAGCAGTGGATTTCAACCTGTGGTCCGCAGACCCTTGGGGTCCACAGACTATGTCTAAGATTTCCAAAAGGGTCCACACCTCCATTTGATATTTTGTAGGGATGCACAAATTAAAAAAGGTTGAAAACTACTGTCTGACAGGATACAGGCCTGTAGGCTCATGCTTTATTGCCTTAACTTATGCCTATGCCTTACCTAGCAAACACCTATAGGCAACAGGTGAAGACTGATTAAATCAATTTTTGTGTGTGAAATTAGAAAAAAGAGACTGTAATTTAGAAGATAGAAAGCCTCTGGTGACTATACTGTGATTTGTCATCTCTGGAGGACAGATGTAAATTGGAAAGAGAGGAAGAGGACTTGGGCTGTCAAGAAAATATTGATTTGTACTCAGCTGTCTTCTTTTAAATTTCTTCCAAACCTTCCTAGAATAGCAAATCATACTGGAGCAGAAGACCTATTAGATGTGACTTGACACTGTATCCTCTTGTCCATAATATTACCAGATAGTCTTTCTATCCTCTGAAATGGGAGTTATGACACAAAAAATGCTGACAGACTATAAATGCTGTCAGCCAGGAACTTAAAAGTCACAGATATTACATGCACCAATTTCTTAAATGTATAAAGAAAGAAGGAATTCCCCATCTCCTGTGCATGTGGACTATAGTTCTAAATATTAGAATCAAGTATACTGGAA